CTACAGTATTGAGACCACCCTTCATTTATTTAATTTCCAGCCAAAACAGACATTAATTACAAAGTTATTCAGTTTTCAGCTACAAGAAAAAGCAGACAGCAGAAAAATGTATTTACCAGAAAATTACAAAGAAGCCTCAAAATCTAATTATATATATATTTTTACTATCTATCTATCTATCTATCTATCTATCTATATATATATATATTTATATTTCTATCTATATATTTTTTTTACATGATTTTGTGTGTCCACTCTTTAACTTTATTGTATGATTTGCAAATTTTCTTTGTAAAGTATTGTGCATTTGTAAAGTATATACATACTTATAAAGATTGTAAAGTATATACACGCTATTTATATTATTCTAGGTACATACAGTGCCAGAGTGGGTTGCCAGAGTTGGGCGAATTCCTGTTGGGCCAGTAGTGTTTTGGGCCAGTTACAGTGAACTAATGTATAAACTCACACATATAAAAACACAGATGCTCAGACAAACAATAACTGTTCCATCCAAGTGTATATCTGTAGTAATTTAGGGGTTAAACCAGTGTTACAGCTCTGGTTTGCTGATTGTAACTGAGCCCCGTACGGTGGATAGAGATTAAATAAAGTTAGAATTAGCGTCTTATTCTCATTTCCTGTTTCATTTAAAATGATGCAGCCATTACACTCAATGGCTGTATGGGCACTAGCGTATAGCGTACGCACTGTTTAAGGTGCAATGGTAATTTGAATAAGAAACTATGAGCAGCCTCGAGAGATTTGCATATCAAATTCACCACAACAGTGTATATCTGGTACTGGTTCATACAGTAGGCAGTGATCTACAGTTTGGCCCTTTTTCCCCATGATCAGTGTAGTAATTTTTCATATGTGAATCAAGTGAAGAAGGACAGCAGCAAAAAATAAATAAATAAATAAATAACAATAAGATAACACAGAGAAGACAATAATAAAAAAGCTACAAAAGCAGGATGAGGACATATCCAAGCATGTGGGCAGTGAGAAATGCTGACCTTAACTTTTCTAGCAAGCATTAGTTTGTAGCATATTAAATGCTATTATTCTATCACATTTAAGAGAAAAGCTTTCGCCAGTTTTCATTTTATCTCTAGCTAGCAACCTTGGTTATCTCAGTACAGCATACAAATAATAAAGAGGAGCAAGAAATGAAGAGGTGCACAGATTGTAGAAAAAGTTATTTTGCACAAAGGCAATGCTGTATCCAGAAAATTGCAGTTACAGTTTGGGGTGGGCTGGTTTGCATTGTGTAACTTGGGATCCTGGTCTGAAAACAAGTCAAAATCAGGATTGCACATCTCTGGTCCTGGAGGGCCGGTGTCCAGCAAAGTTTGAGGATTTACCTGCTCAAACACACCTGATTACACTTGTCTGTTAATTGACCAAGACTGTGACCAATTTGGCATCAGAGCGAGAGCTTCCCTGAACAGGCTTCTCATCACATCTCTTCATTTTGGTTTGAAAGATGCAGAATAGGAGACTTCAGCACTGTCGAGGCCTGTTGAAGATAAGCAGTGCTTTCACACTCACAGCCTAATCTTGTGCCTGAGGGCATTCCTGAACCGCTCCCCTCTGTCTGTCACCCCCACTAATATCCTCACCTGTTGCTTACCAAAACAACAGCGTGAGTCAATAAGGCATCAGGTGTCCGAAGCAATGTCAGAAAAACAACACAAAGAATTCATCTGTCCTTGGAGAAACCTGATATATTTACACTGTAGTTTTACACTTAGACAATATTATCATCAGCACAAGTACACAAAAGCTTGTTTTATTTAACACATTACCGTGTGTGTTGTTTTCTGTAGAACAACAGGGCGCTTCATTGAGGGCTGAATTAATTTCCCAGCAGATAACTTGCTATTCCTCCTACTTTAGTGAGGGAGTGGTTGAGAAAGGCAGTCATTGTAGCTCAGCTGACTGTTGTGAGTAGGTGCGGCTGAATTCCGTCTCTTTATTTTGGCTTTCTCGCAAGGAAAGTATTTGTGGGGCCTGAATTATGACCAGAGTAAGTTAATTTACTTGATAATCTTTTAGTGCTTATCAAATGAAATTCATTTTTCAGCATTCAAAGATTCCACAAATTATCTAGTTTGGGTAAGTCTAACATTTGACTCATAATCTGGACTGACATGGACCAAAAACATGTTACAGTCAGTGTACACCACAGTGGATGTAACTGAGAGATCATGTAGAATATGTACGTAGAACAATATAGATATTTTTATATATTTTTTACTTTTCAGAAACTTTTAACCTTTTAACTTTTAATGTATGTATGTTCCTGTTTGAGCAGTTTCTATTAGTCTATTCATCATGAAATATTCACAAAATATAAAGGGCAGCATATTCAAATGATGTAAAATAATAAAAAAGGGAGTTATGAGGTTTTGACACGACAACGGGGGTAAATATATTACAACTTTACAACTTCTTAAAGGGCCCATATCATGGAAATCCACATTTTTTGTAGAATTTTTAAATAAAAGAGTGTGCTGTAGTATGTAAACATTAAAGTTACAAAGTATTGCATTTAAATATATCCAATTATTCAGGCTACAACAGTTTAGCTCCTTCCATTCACGCTGAATTTATAAGGAGTGTTTCAGCTCAGACTGTTTTTTGGTATGAGGCACAATACAGGTCAGCCAAAGAGAATAGATGTCATTTACACATCAGCATTGAAGGCACATTAACAATAACAGTCTGTTTAATTATACAGGATAAGAGAGGTTGAAAAATAGTCATGTAAAAATGAATTATGACTGGTAACAAATAAAATCACAGAAATGTTAGAAGTGGAAAATAAATAAAAACAGCACAATGTAGAATATGGGCTCTTTAATCAGTTACACTTAAGCTAGTTTAGTTTTATTAAGAGGTCACAGTTTGATGCATTGTGTGCTTTATGTGTGACTCAAAACCTCCGGCAAAGCTTAAATGTCAAATGCTAATAACATCCTAATATTATAGAAATTTGGGAACAAATGAAAATGTAAATAATCTTCATTGTTGGGATGCTTGAATTCTTTTGTACTAATGTTTGCAATCAATTTGTCAACAGAAACTTGAAGCTATGTGATAGAAATTCTATGTATAGCCAGCACAAATTATGCTTACGCTTTTAAGTAGAGACAAAAACTGTAAAGCAATGATAATACATAGCAATCTTCAATGAACATAGGCTTCATCAGTAACAACTGGGCTTTTTATAAAGCCACATTGATATGTCATTTGAAGCAATGTGCTTTCTTGAGAGGTTTATGCTTGTAACATTCCTGTTCTTGTGGTAATTTCAGCTTCAGTCTGATGTTGTGACAGTCACAAACTGCACGTTGTCCCAGAATGCCTCAGAGACATTTATTGGGACATAACATGAGAACAAGTAAGCTCATGTTCCTTAGCTAAAGCTAGACCTGGCTAAAGTAGTAATAAACGACACTTCTGTTCCCCAACTGGATAGTTCGGCCATAATCTCGAAATACAGTGGTGACGCGAAAAATAAGGTGAACAGTATAGAATAGAACTAAACTGAAAATATAACAGCGAATGTATAGAATGAAAGCCTGGATTTTTTCTGTGTCAGATAGCATTAGCATGTGCATGTTTCAGACTGATACTTCCTTAGTTTATCTTGGCCAAGGTAAAGGACAGTAAGCTGAATCTCAGACGTTTCTTCAGCCTCCCCTGTCATCCGTAACTGGTTGACCTAGTTTGTTTGAAGTCTTGCCTCAATTTTTGTGAGCTAAGCCGAGTTCACAGTGCCAAGCAAGGGTTGGTGGTATCGCAAACATAAAGCATCATGATACTTGAAGACATCGGCATGATGTGCAATTATCCAATCAGCTGCTTGTTTTTGTATTGTTTATGCAGCTAATATACAGGCTGTAGCTTTGATTTAAGTCTTCTTCCTTCATGTAGTTGTTTGGTGTTCTAGAAATACTGATTATACCTGATAAACACTGATTGGCCACTTCATTAAAACCACCTCCTTATTTCTACACTCGTTGTCCATTTTGTCAGCCCCATTTGCCATATACGTGCACTTTGTAGTTCTACAATTACAGAAATTATCGTTTTTCTGCATACTTTGTTAGCCAACTTTCACCCTGTTCTTCAGTGGTCGGGACCCCCACAAGACCACCATGGAGCAGGTATTATCTGGGTGGTGGATCATTCTCAGCGCTGGTGGTGGCGTGTTAGTGTTGAGTTGGTATGAGTGGATCAGACACATCAGTGCTACTGGACAATGGGTGCAGAAACAAAGAGGTGGTTTAATGAAGCAGCTGGTCAGTGTATACTCAGAAAAGTGCATTGTGATGTAATTTATCACATTCTCAGAAAAAAAAAGGCACAAAACCTTCACTGGGGCAGTACCCCTCTTGTCACTGGGGTGGAACCCCCAAGGGTACATCTCAGGACCTTTAGTCAGGGAGCATAATTGTACCATAATCCATTAAAATTATATTTTCTAAGTTGTATTGACTCCACACACCCCGTCTCATCTCCAGGCTTTTTATTTTATTGTTCTGATTTAAAACATCAGGTTATGAAAAGGCACAAATATGTACTTTTCACCTGGGAAAAACCTATTTAAGGTACACAATTGGACCTAACAACACTGTTTTAGCTTTGAGGTACATTTACATTGTTTGTACCTTAATGAATGAAAAACGTACCTGCACAGCACCTTTATTTCTAACACTGCATGAAAACAAAAACATATCATCATATTACCCACCCCAAGTCCCTAGATCATTGTTGTTATCTTGTTCTTTGTGTAATAAAATCCTGAGCATTAGTGTCTGAGCACGTGTGCATATCCTGCCTGACAGGCTTATGGTAAACACTTTCTTCTAATTTTTTACTGAAAAGTGAAACTTAAGATGTATTTCAAAAAATCCCCCTCCCTTGTCTGTTCTCCAGCATGTTTCTCCTCCCTCCCCTTCATGCTCAGCCACCCCTCCTCCCATCTGCTGAGTGCTGGTGCTGGAGGCCGGCCGTTTCATTCTCCTCACAGAACGCACCGGAGGCTAACACACTATCACACACTCTCCTACAGGCAAGAACACAGAGGCTCATACACACACACCCACACTCACTCACATCTAGGTAGGCAGTTAGGCAATTTTGCCAACATGTTCCAATGCAGGAGTGGAGCTTCTTGGGCCATCTGCCTCTTAAGATCATGAGCACATAAATTAAGGTAATTTCAACATTTGCATAGACAAGACATGAGGAGCACCTAAACCTTCAGAGAGGAGTTTTTCTTCCTTTCATCTCTGAAGGCTGTTGGAACACTGTTGTGGATTTCCAAGATGAGCCTGAAAAAACGCAAACCGAGCGTGGCGTTCAGCTGGCATAAGTCTTTTGCCATCCTTGTCCCATGGAGGAAAGGTAAGCCTCTGAATACATGTTGTGTCATTCTGTTTACACAGGATCATTTTACTTCTCATTGTCAGCTGTGTGCAACACCTGGATTTGTGAGTGCAGGTAGTCATTTGTCTGGCTGAGGTGTTTGAGTGCTATTTAGAGGCAAACTGTATTTTGTACCTAATTAAAACAGACTTTTCCTGGATCCATGAATTTGTAGGACCTGTAGATAATCAAAGAAGATCTCATTCAACGATGTATAGTAAATATTCATACATCATTTGCTAGATTTTACACAAAATAGTCCTTACAGGCTATTTTGTTGTAGCTGTTTCATTTGAAAATGCTGCATATTCATTTGTAACAATTTTGGATGTGACATGTTTTTGAAAAGAATAACAGCTGGTGTATTATGGAAAACACATGTTTATTTCTCTAACAGTTGTGGTATGAATCGTAAAATAGCATTGATGTTTCTTATATGTGTAAAGCCCACTGATAACAATGTATATCATGAAAAAAGAGAATTCTTGAAAGTGGTCTGTAATGTGTTTTAGAAAGAAACGCTTTAATTAAATGCCTAAATGAGATTCTTCAGACAATACAAGTAATTACTAAGAAATCTAATTTAGCTGGCAGGCTTCTTTATTTGCCATCTGCTAATAAAGTAAATCAAGAGAACATGTTAAGACTTTGTGGCAAATAACTAGAAGCATCACCATCCATTTATTACTTTGTTGAGGAGTAATACATGTAGAAGGCTTGTTGCATATAAATATATACACATATTCATTGGAATACATGAATTTGCCATATTGGGATGTAATCTCTTCTAATGAAAAATCTCTACTGAGTTAGTTTTCTTTATTCTGAGATGTTTGCATATTTCTCCCCATCAGGAGACCTCTTGCGAGAGTTCCTCCCAAATGTCCTCAGTTTGCTTGCTTTGTTAAAGGATTCCTTTCATTGTTTCGGTTGTGAAAGGACATAATTTCACTTTGGCAAGGGGATCGCATGGTTGGTCATGACTCCTTGGGTGAGGCCAGGTTTGTGAAAGACAAGCATTAAGCAAAGCGTTGCGCAGGGTGTAAAGATCATCACTGTTGAGCTCTTTTGTGCTATATGATCCCTTTCCCCTGACAGGTTTGCCATGAGTAACTGATTTAAGACACAATGCTAAGCCAGTATTACTGCTGCACTCACAGCTGGTATGAGAGTTCATCATCACTGATGGGCTAAACATGCATTAGAAAGCTAAGTGACATCAGATGTGGATGTTTGTGAGATGACAGCTACAACACTGTGACCTCTATTCTGTTTCAGTAAATATGTGACTCATAACCTGAACCAGGCAGAGCCACATTGGGAGGAATTCTTAATAAATGGGTCCGGGCTTTAGGTGCAGGCTGACACACGTGACTCAGGTGTTCAGGAATTTGAGCACAGACCCCCGCCCTAAGGGGGTATGAGAGTGCACTTGTCTTTGTGGTGAAATCAATACCACCAGGCTTTTGCTATTAATTACTGCTTCCGATTTATTTGTGAGGTACTACAGGCTTCTCTAATGATCAGTCATCAGGATGTAGAATTCTCACTAATTTTCAATAGTACTGAATCGTATTCACAATGACTATTAACCCCTTTTTTAACATTTGTGTAGTTTTATGTACAGAAACTTATCATAATTTGACATGACCATTTTCCAACCATTATGAATATCATCATTTCTTGTATTTTAACAGGTTGTTTTTGTTGCTGTGCCTTTAAGAAATATATTAGCGTTGTTGGAACAAAACCTTGTGTCTCCAAAAATAATAACTTTTCAGGAGAAAAAATATTGTCAGCTTGTAATGAAAGTCAATGTAACAGTATTCCCTAGTATTTTGGACCATTTCTATCGGTCCATTCACCATGACATTTGAACACAATGTAAAGGTTAAATTGTTATAAAATTATGTGAGCAAGTAAAAAACAACAAAAATGGAGAAGGTATTTAAATATATATATATATTTAAAAAAAAAAATATATATATATATATATATATATATATATATATATTTAAAGATCTCTGTTATGACTGGCTGCTCTGTACTGTGCATAATTTGAAAAGCAGTTCAGGCTAAAACACTCCTTATAGCTTCAATGTTTATAGGCCAGCTAAACTGCTATAGGCTGAATTGGTGCATATAAGTAAATGTATCTAAATATATTTTATATATAAAAAAGAAGTTGGCTTTCATGACATCACAAAAACAACAAATTTGTACATTTTTGCAGCTTAATTTCCACACCCTGACTCTATGAACTGGGGAGTGAATGGTACATTTGGAAACTTTAACAATCTTTACATACTACATCAAACTTTCAAAAAAGTGGGGGATGTTCAGTTTTCCATGATAAGGGCAGCTTAAGGGCTCTATTTCAGAGAAGTGAGAGTGGAAAGTGCTAATCAGGACAGATCTGCTGGTGTAAATGCTTCTGAAGAAATCTATGGTAGAGTTACGGCTCCTGCACATTCTTCTCTTATCCTACCAGCGTCAGCTAATGAAAGACCAGGGCTTTCCAGCTCACATTGATAATGTGTCTCTGGAAGGATTCCTTAGGATTCCCATCTCAGCCTTGGTGTAGGCTGACAGAATGAGAGAGAGGAGGGGAAATGCTCCATTATCACGCTGAGAGACAGACAGGCGAGAGGCACTGAGCGTCTGCTGCATTTAGAAGAGTGGGATGGGGGGCAGGAAGGTGTGCAGCAGCATTTAACACCTCATCAAACGTCACATCTGTTCTTTGTCACTTCAAGTGAGGAGTTATGCAGGACCAGGGAATCTCCACTCTGTCAGACCTTTTATTAGAAACCTCCAAAGTCTGACTTTCACTCTGATATGATCCTGCTGGCATTTTAAAACTGACAGTGCTGATTGAAGAATTAAAATAATTGATTCTGCGACTAAGTGAAAGTGTATAATTTTGGGTTTAGAGTACGCTCTTGATATAGAAACTTTATATTACATGGAGGTTCTTCAAACTTTAAAAAGGTTCTTCACATCCACTGAAAGGTACTTCAGAAAACCAAAATAGGTTCTTCTATGAGTTTGCTTTTTGGCATCTTTGTTTTTAAGAATGTAACAATGGATTTTAATGTAATAGGTCTTGTAATTCACTTTATGAAAAAACAGTGAACAACACTTAAACAACCCTACTATTTTCATCAACAGCCAGTGCTAGACACAATACAGACACATGTTTTGAGAGCATGAAAACCTAAAAGCAGACCTGAAAAAACAACTGATATACAAGACAAAACCTGTGGTCATTCAGTCTGGCCACCCATAGTGGTAGCAGACTTCTGTCTTTCTTTTGAGCTCTTTAGCCACAGAAATAGCAGACCTGTCCTGGCCTGCTTCTGACCCCTCTCCACTCAGGATCACAGTGCCTAAGCCAGGAGACAGCCTAGCCTGAGGCTTAGAAACCTCTTCACTTATACGAGTGAAATTCTGAGGCTTGCCCAGTACGCTTACTAAAACAAACATAGGTGCAGGGCTGAAAAGTTTTGGTTGGCTTTTGATCAAAATCTGAGATATTTAATGTAAGTGAGGTGTGTGCAGTGAACTGAGTCTGATACTCATTTTCTAGGATGGTAACTATACTGATACCCTGCACATTTTAGTGTTTACCCTGGTCCCAACACACCTGATCCAACTAATCTGCTAATTAACAAACGCTTCCTGAGTTAAAGTGGGTGTGTCACAGGGCTGGGGGTCCTCCAGAACCAGGATTGGGAACAACTGCACTAGACCACGTGTCATGTTCCGGTTCTTACGGGCCAAAACACTGCAGGTTTCAGCACTCTGCTTCAGTAAACACACCTGATTCAGCTCATCAGCTAATTAGAAGGCCTTCATGAACTGAATTCAGAGCGTTAGATGAGGGTAAACGCTAATCTCTGCATCACTTTGGCCCCGAAGGTCTCCAGTTTGACATGCATGCACTGGACCGTGGTAGAGGTAACAAGCAACTTACTGGCTAGCTAGCAGGAAAAAGTTAGCAGACAACCAGCAATACATAAACTGCAATGCTTTACACAAGTAAACTAAACAATAGTCACAGTTACTTTTAAATCACAAAACTATGCTAGTTAGCTAACTAATGAAAACATTTTTCTTAGATACTTACATTTACACTTCATAGTGAATGAAAATGTAACGAGAATGTCAATGATATAGTCAATGGTAAATTAAGCTAGTATCAGTGCCGCTATGGCAAGTGAGTAAACAGCCAGCCAAAGCGGGACCCCCCTAAATACTGGGGGGTATTTTACACACTGATTACTGATGTCTTTCTGGTATTTTCTTATAAAATTACTTTCCTATGTAAATTTTTTTAGAATTCTCAAACTTTTGTGTTTACTTTCTTTTGGGGTGGTTAAAGTCTTAATTACCAACCCCACCCCCCCAAACCCTGACAGAATTCGCACCCTGCCTGCAGGCAAGGTATCCGTCAGCATTCACCTCAGAGTCAGACTAGATAAATCCCACTAGGTCAGACTACTTCAGCGAGGACTGCAGGTAATCTCTCTCTTTATCATGCTCATCACTGGGCCACTCAAGACTAAAGCTGTAGACCATGAGCTTTTTACTGCCTGAGGGGATGAACCTTGTTCCCACTGACTTTTCAGGAGTTTTTCTCAGGACAGCAAGGAGAAGTATATTTTTACATACATTTTACATTAAGATTTATTTTTTACCTTATCTTAAACAATCCAACATTCTAAGCCACTGACCTCATGCCTTAAAAGTGTGAACCATGGCATCATTAAATCCAATTACAGAGTTTCTGTAAACAGTGTGTGATTAAATATGTAGTCTCTTTCAAGCTTGACTTGATTCAGGTACGTCATAGGATAATAAAGAGCTTTATGCTGAGGTAACACCTGTTCCAGTCTAACCGCAAAACAGATGGCAGCACTGTAGACTCAGACAGTACTGGTCTAAATACATGGTTGCATGAAGACCAATCAGTGTATAATTAGCCAGACTAAGGCTATCACTCTCTAATTTAGCCAGCACAACCAAGCACCAGCAATTAAAGCAGTGCACAAGAGCACCAGGTGAAAACAGATAGTACAAATATGTCAACATCTCATCTTAACCAGATAATTCCTTCGGTTTTGAATGTTTTCATCAATATCCATCCAATCATTCCAACATTCACGGTCAAAAGAATGAGCCTGAGAATGCAAGTAATTGAGAAAGTATGTTTGGATCATGATGCCTCACAGACTGTTCTCAAGTTACACAAGGAGAAGTTCTTAGAGAATGCTTTAAAACATGAGCCATGGTGTCCTTCTGGCGCATATCAGTGTCCCTGCATTCCTAATCACTGCTGAAGTTGAAAAACCAAAAGCAGAAGTCTCCAGAACTCCAGAACTCTTGAGTGAGTACTGAGTGTTTTATCAGCTTAAAAATGTGAGGCATTTGCCAGCAGTACACAGAGAAAAAGTGGCTCCCCCTGAAGCAAAACAACTGCTCCAGGTGGGACAAGACAAAAAGTGCTGCTCCACAAATGGTAAAAAGAGAAAGATGAACAGCAAAACAAGTTTATAGCTGTGCACAAACTGTTTTTAGTGTGCTGAAGGCTGATAGGGGATGTAAACATGACTTCAAAATCTCAAAATATTTGCCTAGCTTATGTGGATTCTAATGCTTTCAAAATAATTCACTTGCAGATGTATAACCTCCACGGTGATAAGAAGTGGAAATATGTGGGTCTCATTCCCAGCCAACAATGGTATTAACCTGCTTTTTTGCTTGTTTGTATTTTTAATGCATTCATACTCCAGTGCACATAGGAACTCAGCATTACTCACATTCCTGCCTGCCAGGGGCTGGGACAAGGGCCCGTTTGATCTCTCTGTACCGACGGCCAGGTCTCAGGGATGTTAATTGAAAACCCAGGGGGATTGAGATGCAGATTGCTTTCTCCTAGAGAGTGGCACCAAAAATGCTCCGCCATCAGCAGTTCTGTACTTTCTGCTGGCAGGCACTGCTTCATGAGGATCTGACTAAGCAGGCCTTTCTAATTGACCCTTTAAAGTGAATAAGCTACTCTGATTCTGGGGCCTCAACTCTAAGAAACCAATTACAGCATGTTTGACTATGTTATCCGTTCCACTTGTATATAGAACGGTTATCGTTTCAAATAGCTATGGGACACTGTTTTCTTTAGATCATCCTCTCTGGGCTTTGACCCTCTCAATTAGTTTATCTTGCTCCACGGTGAGAAATTCAACAGTAATCATTACGCTGTGAGTGATAACACCAGATTTAGCAGCGCATGACATGATAAGGCCAATTACAGGATTATCACAGCTGCTCTGACACAAAATACACATGAGCGGTAACCATTATCCTTTATAGTGGTTTCTATTCCAGTCAGGGGAAGATGTAGTCTTTTTAATTCAGGGCCAAAATGAGCTGTATTCGATATATCTACAGATATGATTCTCTACAAAGTTCTTTAGCATTCTAACCAAAAAGCTCCAGCACACTTGTGTTATTCTTGTAGCATTAGCCATCTAAATGACTATACAGAGTGTTAAAGAGTGACTAACTACTAATGCTAAAGTAGTTCTGCATCCACAGTTCATGACACATCTCATCTCATTATGTAAGCTAAGTAATATTTGACACAATGAAACTGGAATAGAAATGTTGTTATGCCAATTATACCACAAAATAAACCATTTAAATGTGTATTGAATCCTTTACAAAACAGGAAATGTGGTTTTCAGCTTTAACACAGTTTGAATAGCATAGTCTTCAGGGCAAGAAGGAGAAATACTTTCCACATGTGACAGCAAAGGCGTAGGAGTGTCAAAGAAATGCATTAATCTAATCATAGAGACCAGAAAAGGATTACTCAGTGTGTTCAATTTTTAGCAAAGAAGAAACTTTTTTTGAAATGAATGGGATAAAACTTTAAGGTCCACCCACTGCTGACACAGGCGTTTGATTGCACACACACAGCTTTTATAATCTCCACAGAAAAGCATTGCCAACAGAATGAGATCATCATGCCTTATGCTGAGCATCGGCTTGAGGGGTACAAAGCCCTTCAGCACTGGACTGTGGAGCAGTGGAACTGTGTTCTCTGGAGTGACGGAGTACCATTGAATACCTTTTGGACGTGTTGGAGTATTGTTTGTAATCCAGAACTGATCATCCAATATCAGTACCTGACCCCTGTAATGCTGTTGTGGCTGAATGCAATCAAATTCTCACAGCAATGTTGTAACATCTAGTGTAAAGCCTTCAGAGAAGAATAGAGCATATTGCTGCAGCAATGAGGGGACAAACTCCCTAACAATACTTTTGATTTCAAATGGAACGATGGATAAACAGTGGAAAACCTTTTGACATTATGGACCAATTTCCCAGACCCTGATTAAGCCTTAGCCAAGACTAAAAAGAATATTCAATGGTTATTCAACATTGGCACCGCTATTTAGTTCAAGATTAGGCTTAATTCATGTTTTGGAGACAGACCCATAAAGTGGATTACAATAAAACTCAGTTATGGATTCAGATTATTGAAACATAACCAAAGCTTTTCTGTTCACTTTTCCTCTGAAATGAATTGTATGTGTAGTCAGGAACACGTTCAGGTTTATGTTTTGGTGCTTGTATCGACAGCCTGAGGGTTTCTGTTAGGAGAGTCCATGAGAAAAAGCTGGGAAAACACAGCCATTGTTTTCAATGGGAACCTGGGCCAGAAGCAAAGTTTTTATGACCTCACATGATTGAAACGCTATCATTGTTTTCGCAGAGCCACTATCCAAGCTGAAAACAACTTTATCACAACAGATTCTTTTCTCAGGAAAAATACTTTTCGCTCACCGCTTTTTATCCACTGGGAAATTGAAAACAGTGGATTGTGATTTCACCGACAGAGCTGGCAACAAATTAACTAGTTATGATTATTTTCAAACACTGCCAGACTTTTATCGAATGGAATACTTAGTTATGTTTATATCCTGTACATTAGGTACTTGTATCCATAACGCAGGCACACGTCTGTGAATCAGCTGTAATTATGATCTTTCCTGTAATCTTGCTGCCTCTTCCTGCCAATGATGTTTACTGGCTGTAAACTGACCCAATGCAGTTGGACTCATGTTTACATGATTCAAACCACAACTAAAAGTTTTCGGTAAGTAAATAATTGAAATTAAAAGATGGAGAACTGATGACAAATAAAGTCATCTGAAAATATTTTGTTTTACCTTTTGAGCTGTCAAGTTGGCAGCCAGTGCTGAAAGGATGGATTTAATTACAGTTTTCCATATACATAATTAGTCTGCTGCTAAAACTCTTAATCCTTTATGGTATGGAGCTTGTCATTTAGCCTGATAAAGAACCTCCATAATGGGCCTTTAAAATAATAAGAATAAAGGAATATTTGACAGACACCTGTTAGGGTATCAAATTGCTGATGGTTGGAAATAGGAGATGTCACATATGATTGAACCCTATAATAGCATTAACTGGCCCAAAAGATCAAAGCCTGACAGCTCAGTGCATCACACTGATATAACCATGGCCTCACTACATTCTGGGCTCTATTTGGAACATTGTTGCTAAAGAATGCTTTATAGTAAGAGATAAGCTTTCAGCACCGTGACAGAATTTCTGAATATACGCCTTATATAATGTGAATGCTGAGAGCTGGACTGTGCAGTATGATTTAGGGTATAGCTGTGAGACTTCCAAAGGAAAAAAGGCAGTGCTGACGTCCTTCTTGGACAAGAAAGCATTTTTCAAATACCTTTGCTCTATGTTCTCTGTCATTAAGAACCCTCTTGCCACATCTTTAGCACCATGTTTAGATGCATAACAAATGCAATCTCCTTCTAGTGGCCTGGATGTGTCATTGTGTTATTTAGAGGATTGTACCATTTGTTTAATAATTGATTCAAGAGTTGGGTGGTCACAAATTCCTCTTTTTCCTTCCTTCCTCAGCTATGCAAAACTGGACCACAGCCCCATCATCCAGCACTTTTGAGCTTTTTATGTTATAATAGCTCACACCATGCGATATAATGACATAAATGCTGCTGCCTTATGACTTTTAGTTTGGAACTCAAACATATTTCTTCTTTTTGCAGGCAAAGGCGATATGACTTTAGAGAACGAGGTCGTGCTAACCAAGATGAAGTTCTTCAACAACTTCCATGAGGAACTTCTAAACGCCGAGGACACTGTGTCCACTGTTTCCATGTCAATGTCGGAGCAGGACATTTCTGCACCACTTCAGGCTGAGGAAGCCATCTCTGTTCACAGTGCCCCGCCTGAAACAAACATGGAAGAGTCAAAGAAAGACTATTTATCTGCGATTTTCTCTGATTCCAAGCTACCAATTTTGTACAAATTTGAATCGGAGGACTCTGGGGTAGAGATGCCCAGTGGAGCGAACTCTCCGTCCACTCCAACAGGTTCAGAGCAGAGCTTTGTTGTTCACAGCAGAGAGTCCTCATGTGACTCTGGCACTCTGAACCCTCCCATACCATCCAGCAGTTCTATTCTATTACTAGAACAGAGTACAGATTCCTTAGAGACTGAGCAAACATCATGCATGTATGACCAAGAAGACAATCTGACAGTATTAGAAGACAGACCAAAGGATCAGACAGACAGTGTTCTACTGGAGTCCTTGGGAGATTCAGAAAGAGCAGAAAATGGAACCTTAGGGAACATCTCTGAGATCAACGAGGATGGTTTGGTATGTGGGGACATAGCAGAAGAAAGAGCAGAGAGTGAAGCTGCTGAGGACACAGGATCAAGCAACCATTCTATTGAAGCTTATGACGGCAACACAGGGGCGGAATTGCAACAGCAGCCGCTAAGGAAAAGCACAACAAGTGACAGTCTGGATGAGTACATGGAGGAGTGCTGCAGGCTTAGTGAGGTAACTATAACAGTTTACACATTTTTATTTACTTGAAGGCTGAGGATCATGTCCAGTTTTATATAAGCAGACCTGTAGTGTATGTATAGATTCATCGTGGCACTTAGGATGGGATATAAACAAGAACATTACATTCAGAGGCAAAACATGATATTTGTGTAGTGAAAAGAATGAACTACTTGGAAAATAGTTTCACACTTTGAAAAAGTATGGTGATCTTAAAGCATAGGCCAATATTTTTGAGATAAAAGAAAAAGATAAAATAAAATGGTCAAATGATGATTTGGAAGGTACAATAAATGTTCCTAAAAGGCTCTTGGTTTGCACATATGGCTCTAAGAAACAGCTTTAACTGGTGAAGAACCTTTACTTTATGTAGAGGATCTAGAGGATCTTTAAAACATTATAAGGTTCTTTTCATTTTTTAAACAACAATTCTTTGCAAGGTTCTTTAGGGAACCAAAAATGCTTTGTCTATGGTATCACTCCAAATTACCATTTTTGGCACTTTTATTTCAAAGAGTACAATACTTTAGCACCATGATGATCATGAAAGATGGCTCACTATCCTGAAGCTGAAGAAGGCTTTAAATCTTTTTAGATCTCATGTCCTCTGTTGATTACAGAGTTAGCATGGCATTTCAAGGTGGTAAAGCAAGTAATGCACAAAGTAAACAGAACATTCATACCTGCATTGAGAAACTGCTTGGATGACAAAATGGCAGTAATTGTCATCCACTAAGGTCTGGGCCTACCCAGACTGACCACAGGTCTACCGCAAAAATGAGGAAAGAATATTTATTAAGCTGTAATTTTTTAGATAATAAAGTTTAGTTTTCTCTCAGTGCTGTCATTGTAAATTGGCCAATCAATTTTCAATTTGAAGCTCTAGCTGCAATGTAAAGATGTACCTGCAGGACCTGTAAAGAGCAGAGTATGTTGTTTTCTACCAGTTGTTGTTATCAGGGCTCTGTGAATTTAGTACTTACAATGCTCCTTTACTACAAAAGCTAAAATAAGCTGTTTAAAAATGGCAACACAAGTGGCATTAAAGGTAAGACATAAATGGTCCATAAACATTTTTCACACCTGCTGTGGCAGTATGCTTCAGCCCAGGATGGATTAGTTTAGTATTTTAAGTTTGTTGTGTTATTCTTTCTCATCTTTGTACATCTCAGCTGTCCGATTTTGACTCAGTCATGTAGTCTTTATTGGGCAAAAATTGAGCAAATCTGGATGATTGCTATTGTTTCGTATTACTATAAGGCACAAGCACAGAAATAGGTAGGGCAATGACTGCAATGCTGTAGCCTGATGTCATGACATTGAGGGACATATCCTCCTTAGAAGTACCTACTTACGACTTTGGAGGTTTGGTTGTGTACAAGATAGATACAAGATATATTTCTGCCTACACCACTGTAGCAGGCAAATCAGTGACAGCTGCAAATCCAAAAAAAAAAACAAAACACAAAAGCAGGGACACAGGATAATTGTCAAGACCTGTTGAGACCTGTCATAAAGACCCATACACTTCCATCATACTCTCTGAACAGTGTTCTCATTCACATAGTTGAAAAAAAAATCCTTCTTTTTCCCGGTAATGAACTCCACCTATGCTGCACCTGACAGCTGTGCTCATTGCCAAGAAGCTACAACCTGTTTGAAGTGCTGAGCATCTCTTCCTTTCATGTTAAAGTAGCTGTTTCTTTGGGGGCACTGTCTCAGACAGAGGAAGCTTTATTTATGAGTTTGGTTTTTTATAGATTTTATGATTCTCTATAATCCATCAAGCTCATAACTTGATTTCAAAGGATTAAATTGTAGTATTTCTTAGTTGTCTTTTTAAAAGTTAGTGCCAGTCTATCTTTTGTGCCAATTCATCCAAGTGTTCAAGGCTAAAACCTTTGCTTGTAATTCATTTACCAGCCTTTATAAATAACATTATCAGGCTAAGTGCAAGTTAAACAAGTTAACTGTCACTTGTGTAACCACCTCAATACATACAAGTGATGAAAGAACGTGATAAATTAATCTACATGCATTTTTGGCTGCACACTTTACAGTTAGAACCCATCTCAGTGTTACCTCTTTTTTCAACTCTCCAGAGCAAACCTGAGGATATTTTTATTTTCAGTTGCATTTTCATGCATGCATTGGTTATTTCATGCACTGAGAGTTGTTGAACTGTGGTGAACTAAGAGAGCAGTGCTTCATCACCTTGAGGTCATGGTGTGGGACGCGTATGTTGAGTTTTCCTTAGTGCCTCGGTACAGTACAGCATGTATGGACGGATGTGGGACGCAGTGTTCTCTCCTTTTTATGGAGCCACCCATCACCCAGCACCTGTTCATCTGTGCTGAGTGACTGTGCAGATGGCTGTGACGATTACAGCCAGCACAGCTAAACCCCCTCTCTAATCTGAGCCATGTCTCTCTCTTCACCAGCCTCTAGCTCAGCCTACCTGCATGCATCAAACAGGTGTTAAAAAAGCTCAAATTACTCACATATTTACCCAGATAAAGACCCTTTGATAGCTTATGCATCTTTTAGGGGTGGGCGAGTGGTAGATTTTTTTTTTTTTGAACAGAGTAGTCCTGGACGGCCTGGTTTAGGGGTTCAGTGATGACAAATAGACTGGGCGGTAAACTTCAACATCACCTGTCAGCACACCTAATAACCTAATTCCTCGGCCCACTAAACGGAGCACTGTGGACTGAGGAAAGGGATATTGGAAAGGGGCTGTGGGTTTTTTTCCCATCCACTTCAGGCATGGCGACTTCAAAGGGCCTCTCTTTCCCATGCTAATCTAATTTGTTTCCTACTTATGAGTGTAGGACACAGGCCTGAAGTGAAGATTCAACTGTGCAAAGGGAGGCAGCTTTAAATAAGGAATTAATAAAGGAATTAAGCCTGGATGCGTCAATCATTTTGTCTATCCAAAATATCTAAATTCAGAGTCCGTCGTTCATTTCAAATGATATTTATTTTATATGTGTGTGACAAGTCACACTATTAGCTGAGCTAACATTAGCATGATAACATATTATTCACTGCATAGTTTTATGAAACAAAACTATATATTATAGGTTACGTATTTGCTAAAACTTTACAAGTGGAATAACGCTAGCTAGGTAGCATACTTTTCCACAGACATTGTTATAGTGAGGTTCACAACCACCAACTAGCCAAATAACCCAATTCTTTCTAGCTTTCACAGTCAAAGAGGGAAAAAATGAAAATTTAAACTGCTGACCCCATATTTAACACATGCGGCACACCATGGCAGGTAAAAACTGTTTAACCAGAGTCCTACCATGTAAAGCACTAGCTGTGGATGTCCAGGGCAAATGGTTGAAATCTATGAGTTTCTCATTTTTTTTGCAGTATTGTTTACCACAGTCAACTACTGCCTACCTGACTCAATATAACTATGTATTTAAGACTACATTAGGAAACCAGCACTGTTCAGTTTCGTTCCTACAGTCAGGAGAAACTGTGTATCAGTCTAAATGGGTTTTACGGACGTCCAGAGAGGTCATGAATTAGTTATCCATCAAGAAAGATATCCTTTGCACCTCACAGAAAAAGGCAAAGGCTACCGTTGGGTCGGCTACTTTCGATTTTGGAAAAGTGAAAGCTGATTGCAAAGATGCAGCACCATATGTGATGAAGCAGAGGATAAACTAGTCCTTCTGATGTTTGTTAACCCCTTAAAATCCCAGGCTTATTACATACTGAGGCTTATTATTCAGTAACTACAGGGACTTCAATGCAAAACAGTTGAGCTGTTCTTAGGTTATAGAAGAGTATGTAAGAGGTTATGTTGTATTTGCTGGGTCCCAATTGTCCGGTCAGCTTGGATGTTGCTATGCCAAACGCAGAGACAACAGAGACGGATGGAGTGAGTTCATGTAGCACATGTAGCACGCGAAACTTCGCAAAAATTGAGGATGATGAAAATAATCGTTTCTTTGCCATGTGAAGAATTGCATTTGGTGTGTGAATGATAATGTGGTTGAGTGATAACGGGTTGATCTATTCTTAGGTTATAGAAGTGTGTAATAAAACTTTTGGCCCACTGGTTATCTACGATCTAAGGGCCTAAATGAAATTAGTCTTCATAAAAAAGACAGCAGAGATGCAACGTAGTTGAACATAAAGACTAAGCATTTGTTGTTGATCAAGTCCATAGTATGTTCCACTGGTGTTCATGCATGTGGTTTTCTCTGTGTGAGGATCCATAGAACATTGAAAGTGTTTTTGCTGTGGGGAAGACGGATGCGTAGAGTGAAATATAATGGTCTAGAGAAATGAAGACAGCATTATTACCACCCCAACCCCCCTCACACTCCTGAGCCCATGGCATGGCAGAATTCCTCAGCTGGAGCATATAAACATCCAGACAGAACCCACAGTTCCAAAAGCGCTGGGGAGAAGCTTTCATCTAATGATGGATGAGGTATGAAGAGCTGAGCTGTGTATGTCACGTCCAATCTCTAACCTCTGACCGACACCTCAAATCTAATGTAACATGTCTATACCATCAAGGTTTACACAGTTTGTGAAAAACCAGTACGTTACCAGCACATTTCAGTCCCCCTAGCTTAGATTACTGGAACCATATACAGAAAGTCATAGCAGTTCAACTGAGACCTCTAAGTGTCTGTGCCAGTAACATGTCTGTCCAGCTGTTAGGATCTGTCATGTCATTTAACTGCATCTCGTCTGTATTGAGACTAGAATGGGAAGGCAATGAAAAATTGGCAAAGACATATTGCTATTTGTGGGTGGTTTGTGGCAACAGGCTTCCTCCGAAATAATGTTGAAAGTCTTAAAAAGTGTTCTGATATTCCATTCTGAAACTTAAAGTTTTAGAAAGAATGAGGCTGATGTTGTCCTACTTGACAGGCTCTCCAACTCAGTCTAAATGTTTGTCTCTTGTTGTAAATACATCAGTAATAGGTAGTCAGCAAGCATCAAATAATTATTTACACAAGGAAAAAACATGCCTTGTTGATCTAGCTCAATATATGACATAACTGTCAAAGCTTGTTAAAGTGTCCAGCCAGTTGTTTTGAATGTTCTGGTTTGTACCAAAAAAAAATCATCCACCTTTTTCCACATCTCTGCCCACACCCCACATCTGGCTCCTCATTCCACTCCGATAATGTCATGTTTGGAAAAATGATATAAATTCACAGCTATAAATTCACTGCGTTCACTCTCAGGGGTATTTAATAGATTTATACCCTATTTATTCAGATTTGATAAGAACAAGATAATTTAATCTCAAAAATGCTGCTACTCCATTGCCACGTCAGGCAAGAGAAGAAAACAGTTGTTACTAATTTGAACCACATCTAGAAAAATCACATCCTCATGATAGTAACTACATGTTTGGAACACAAAGTAACAACAAAAGCTCAGATTTTGCTAATTTTTGGGCTGTGTGAAATGCTGGCTCTTCTTGTTTATGGGGGGAAGCAGGGAGGAAATGAAGAGGAAGGGAGGGGGGCTTGTCCGACCCCTTCTCTCTTCCCTTCCCCTCATGTGGGTTCACCAGGGAACCCACACAGAAAGAGTGATAAAATCTCACAAACCTCTGCATTCATCAGGGCCAGGAAACAGTAGCCAAGGACTACTAATGACTGACTTTCTCATATCCTCTTCACTCCGCATGTGTGTGAATGTGAGCGCATATTTGCATGTGTTTGTGTGTCACCTCGAAAGCTCCAATTCCGTTCCTTCATACTGTCAGTACAGGATAGCTTCTGAATGGAGCACCTGATAAAGTGCCACCTGTTTGGATTATACAGGAACAGAAAGGTCTGAGCCACTCTCAGAGGATGTATATCTGACTAAGCTTGAATGAATTAATGAAATTATAAACAGTTGCCTTCCTTCTTTTGTACAGACGTTTAACCTCTCTAACTCTAAGCTTGATATTCAGCTTTTAACATTAAGACTTATTATCCAGTAACTACTATAAATTAATCAGCAGCTGTTATGACACCACTAAGTTATGTAGTTATGAGAGTGAGTAACTGGGCCCCCTTTAGGGTTTAAAGGGGTCAATAGATACATGGGATGCAAATATTAATACATGAATATTAAAGAGCCTAAGTTACATGTTTAGAGAGAGCTATACAGGCCTACATCTTCATTATAGAAATGCTGGTGTATTGAAAGTTTTGCGGGAGACGTATCATAGTGTAAATGAGTAAAGTTCATGATCATAAGAGTGTAAGCGTGACCTGCTGAGGATCTCACACTCCGTCAAAGGAAATGAGTGATGTCAGCACCCAGCATTTCTGCTCCCTGTTATGACTTTGTCTTCTATTGTTTAGCCTCTGTGTTTCCATTAACACTGGGGTCTGGGACTGGACTGGACGTAAGTGGCGCGGAAAAGCATTCTGGGGAAAAAAGAGCCCTCGACCTGAGCTCACATCCTGCTTTTGTTGGGACACTTTTTGGAATGTTGATCATTGTATAAATATTTGCTCAAAATTTCCTTTTCATATTTCGTGGACTTCTGCAGCTTTTAAGCCAATGGTGGTAAGATGAATCAACAAACAAACAATAGCGGTCTGTGCTTTGTACTTCAACCAGTGTGGTCATGGCCACATTTAACTCCGCTTCTCCCACTCTCACATGCTCACAATTTTGCATCTGTCTTATGATTAAAAAAGGTCATTGTGCTGTACGCTCCATCACCACCATACATGGAATGCAGCACGAATAAGACAATTGTCAAGAAAAAGACCTGCAATCTTGAAATACTCTCACATCAGTAATGGCAGTGATGAATGATTCCAATGTGGGAATCCTTTGGGCATCCGGGAGAGTAAAAAGAAACTTAGATCTTGGCTTGAAAAGCAGTAAGGATGTTGCTGCTCCTTATTTTTGAAATAACATTTCAAAAAACATTGGAACATTTGGTGATACCCTAAGATTGTTTAAATAAAACTTTCAATCCTGTGTGCAAAAAAGTTGGGACGCTGTGCAAAATGTAAATAAAAACAAAATGACATGCAAATCATTTAAACTCTATTTGAATTAATTGAAAATTGACCACATATTAAATGTTGAAACTGAGAAATGTTATTGTTTTTTGAAAAACCTATGCATATTTGGCATATATATATAAAAAAAACACTAAAAACTCTGTTTCAACAGTTTTTCTCAGTTTAATATGTCCCAACTTTTTTTGGAAACGGGGTTGTATATTACCCCCTTTCTGCAGGCCTCCTAGTGGTCATTTGGCTGGTGCAACAGAAATTGAGTAAGATATTGTGAATTAATATGATCAAATAAAATATTTTCCCTATAACTCTGTTATCACTTTAACTAGCACACGATTGGCTAAATCCACATGAAATGTTGTGACTCTGTGTTGAGCTGCCAGCAAGCAATAAGGGATTAGTGCAAGAAAGGTGAAAACTTCTTGCTGTGAAAACAATTGAAAAGCCGAGAAAAAATGATCAGCACAACTGCAGCTTGCCTCAAATAAAAAATAATTGTGAACAAATACCACAATAAAAAAGCATTTTTAGAAATGCTGACACGCTTGCTCTTCTATGAAGACAAAAAATTCAGCGTGCTTCCAGTTTTGCAAATCATACGCGTTTCCATCAAAACATGTTTCATCAACATTACTGAAGAAAAAAAAACGCATAAAGCAAAAACTGAAGGACCTTCATAACAGGTGGAAATTGCACTTTATGGCTACTGTAAAAAGGCCTATAGAATGTGCAGTGTGTACAGTTCTGGTAAACTGTAACTTAAGGCATGTGATCTGGTACCCATACAGTTCAAGCTGTATACAGGCTCATTATGTATCTCTGTCAGTCTTAGTGAAAAATCTACAAATGATATGTAACCCACTCCAGCTGCTGAACTCCTTGCCAGCATCAGGGTATTAAACAGAGCAGTAAAAAGGAGAAGGGAATGTACATATGGGTTTAACAGTGATTATACTAGTGCAGAAACACCTGCCTCAACTGTGCTTCTAAAGCTGTAAAAAGTCCAATTAAAAATTCCATTGTGAACGTAAAAATACCTTTTAAAAATGCAGGATGGGTTATCACAGGCTGTTTGCCTTCTCTGTAACACAGAACATCTTTGTGCTTGGTTCATCTTACGTGTCTGATTTCAAAGTTTTAATCACGTATGATTTATAAGCATTTACTTGTTTCATTTTCCCCATAGTGAAAATTACTACAGTACAGTTAGTAAGTTTATATTTACCATGCAAATATGGCCAGTTAGCCCACACAAATACAGTCCTTGTTGCTAAATGATCATTAAACAGTACAGACAGATTACAGTTTCTCTTTTATGGTAAATAATGCTAATGCTTTTTTCCCTTTAGGTGAACCAGGCTCGGTCAAATCCACTGGGCTCAGGCCTGGGTTACCTGGAACACATCTGCCAGCTTATCGAGAAGATTGGCCAGCTACAGGAGCACAACCTCAAACTGCAGAAACAGATTTGCAACCTGCAGAAGGACAGCAAGATGATGAAGACTAAAGAGGTGGGTTCAGTGTGTCACAAGTACTTTTTCAGCCTTATTTGACTAATTTAGCAGTCATGAAAATAAGCCTCTCTAAAAAATTCTGCAACCCTGATATATTTTAAAAGGGGGTGGAAGTTCAGATTATTCATGCTTTTGAACAATAAATGCTATGAGTGAGAATAACCAATCAAGCTATTGGCACAGCAACAAAATAATGTTCAGAAGAACAACAGTGCTCTACTAAAAATTACAAGAAGTATGTTTACCATGCCCCCTGTCAATTGCTAATCCTAGTTGAGGCATTGCTGTAGTTCATCTTATTAAGACTCTTCCTTCTAGCCTTTAAACTTTGCTTTGTTGTGGTTCCCCACATGGTGCATGGCTATGTCTATATCTTTGGCTGAGAGATTATTTGCCCATGCTGCCTCGGTGTAAATCCAGCTGTTTTGAATGGGCTTCAGGAGCAGGGTGTCATGCCAGATGAAAGTGTATTTAATAAATACAACAGCTGGGTTCAACCCTCTCCAACCCACACACACATGGGCCACACATTTCAGAACATCGCCCGCAACAGAACACAGCTTTCTGCATTTGTCTCATGTTTTTGAAGAATGTCAGGTGACACTTTTTTGCTGAACTAGTTCTTCTGAACTTGTTCAGGCTCTACTGAGTGGATAATTTGAGTGAAGATATGCATGTTTTGCAAATCAGGGAAAAGAGGTTCACATGCAAAGTCACAGAGATAAACATTACCTTTAATATAGTGCTTTTTGGAAAGGTATGATTGTTATAGTAATATGCCAAATTCTTCATGTTTTTACACATGAGTAAAGGGGCAAATGGGGCATATTCCTCACATGAGTAAAGGGGCAAATGGAGCAGCACAAAAAAGGCATGCTTTACTGCAACCATTTCTATTTCCAGTGCTGTTTTCATAGCTGTGTTTTGCTTGTTTTACTGTCACCCATTGTTCTTTACTCCAAAGAGTAATGCAGCAATAGCACAGTGTCTAGGCTTCAAGGGTGCTACAAACTAACCTGGTATTAAAACAGCCACTGTTTTCTTAGCAGAATTTCATCTGTGGAATGCAGCCTTCTTTCTTGCTCATCTTTTACCCACCTTTGTCCCACTTTAGCCTTTTGCCCTATAACTAAAGGCCCATGCCAGCACATTGTGTAGATGTCTATCTGCCCTTTACAGAGTGTGGCCACTTGTGAGAGCAGTTTTGTTCATGCTTTTTCAGAAAGCCTGCCCTAAACAGGCTCTGTCAGGTCGGGCCCCGGCTCCGGAAAAGTTTTCCACGACACAGTGAGTGAGCTCAGCAGGAATCCGCACTTCAAAGTCATGAAAGAAACAGAGAGGGAGGCAGAGGAGAGGACAGCAATTCTAGAACTCGGAATAAGAATGCTTGCATTTAAATGTTTCCACTGTCCTGCTTTGTCCATTTCATGTTGTTTGTCTAGTGAGGGTGTACTGCAGGAGGATTCTGTCCATTCACTTTGAAATCTGGGTAATCTATGGGTATTGCAGGGCAAATAAAAGCAGCATTTCATACCTACACTGAAAAAAGTACATGATTTCCACATATGAAATATGTAAGCAAAACTACTGCAAAATGCCAATAAATTTAAAAAACAAACTGCGTTGATTTAGTCATATAAATATTCACGTACATATTTTATTCATGTGGAAATAGTACTTTTGATTTGGCTTTGAAACTGTATTAAACAAGGATATAGAGTAACCTGGCAATGGTATCATAATCTTCAGCAGAACAATGCTTTCAAAGGTAGACACAAGTTGGTGGACCACACTGCTCGGTCTCTCTGGGACACCAATTCTCCCTGCTGCGTATGTGCTGGATGAAAAGGCAGCGGGCTGCAACACGCCATCACACACATCAAAAGGCTGGAGACCTCTGCTAAAACGTGCCCTAGTCTGTGTAATAATAGGCCCAGCTGACACTCCAGTCTCCTCCCCGCTGCTTCCACCTACCCTCCCCACCCGCACAACAGGCTTTCATTTGTACTCATCAAAGTCCCTTACAGCTCAGACAATAAGCAGTTACCACCTATGCGGTTCTCTCTCTCTCAGTCTTACTCCACTACCTTTCCTGCTCCGGCTATTGCCCGTTTCTAATCCCACGAGGAGTGAGAATCCATCCATTTAAAATAGCTGACCACTCTGTTTACATTTATAATATCCTGCAGCAGTTGTGCCGCTCAACACCTCCTAATTTCATTACAAGGAAAGAAAACTTATTTAAAGGGCCCATTTTCTTTTATTTTTGATGTCCACTCATGATGATGTTTGTGAGGTTTTATGTACCATAATCAGTAATAATTAATTTTACATGACCATTTTCCAGCCTCTTTTTATCCCCTAGAATTATCAAGTTGTTTTTGTTACTGTCCCTTTAAAACTGATAAATGTAAATGAGCCCTGTACTCTGTTCTGATTGGCTACCTTGGTTACCTCATTCAAAAAGCAGGCTGAAACATTCCTTATAACTTCACTGTGAATGGGCAGGGCTAAACCGCCGTAGGCTCAATAGAATATATATAAATTAGTTGTTTTTGTGACATCACAGAAACAATGAACTGAAAACAGGCTGTTTTTACAGCTCAGTGTCCATATATGAACTGTATGGATTGGGGAGTGAATGATATATTTTGAAACTATATGTTAACAGTGTTTACATATTACATCAAACTTTTTATTCCTTTTCTACTATATAGGCCCTTTTACAGATTTAAACTACCATTCCGGAGAATCTGCACCCTGTTGTCACTGGTAGAACCCCTTTGGAAATGGTGTCTGAATGCTGAAAAGCAGTGCCTGAACCACAGGATGTGGAAAACTATCATATGATCCACAAATCAGACACTGAACCCTCGCTTATGCAAATACAAAATGATTGCCTCTTTTTCTTGTATTGGTTAAAATACTGCTTGAAATATTATGCTGGCTTTGCCTGTGGATTTTGAGCCATCAATAGTAAAGAAGCATGCTGTTGGTTTGCATTATTAATGATGAAGGTGAAAGGCCACACCACAGCAGCAGCAGGATCAGGATAATAACAGGAAAAAGATGTGGCTTATCACACATTGGTTGTTTTGGGTTATCTAGGTGGTGTTGTTTAATATTCATGTGATGAAAAGGCCTGAAATAGATACTAAAGTAAACTCTATTATTCCCACATCAAATGAAAGTGGTTGTATTCAGAAGAACACAAATTTGACTTTTCACTTTTTGATTGCCTTTTTGCAAGAATCAACAACATTTGCTTCTATTGTTAAAACATTGAATAAAATGTCATGCCATTATGGAGAATATGAAATAAAATCCCACAATAGTAAAAAGAAAAGAAAAGAGTTTTGTTGCCAGACGATGCAAGTGCACAATGGCTCAGAATATTTTTCACTCACAGAAATATGAAACAGATGGCTCTACTTGGCGCCAAGTATGTACTATTGGAGGACATTCTTTGACCCATGGGTGTGAACCACAACAAATCTATTCTGATTTGATAAGCTGAATTATTCTTACATGCACTTTTCCCCCTATGATTTGGCAACATATCATTCTTGTGTCTGAATCTCATTGCTAAAAGAAGCTGAAAATACTCTATAAAGATGGTTAGACTATTTAAGAACAAGTTGAACTTTCAAAAATTGCTCTAAAAAGATAGACATGTGGGCTAGACTTACCAAACAACACTATTTCTCTGTTTCAGGACTTCTTTGTACAGCACTGTCACTGTGGTGCAGCTGGTCTGGCCTTTCAGGAGCTGAAGCGGTATTCTCGCAGTGACTACCACAGCCTAGCAGCGTCCAACGGCACACTGTCCGACCTCACCACTATCCCAGAGGGCACACGGATCCCCCACCGGTCAGTCCTCAGAGGTCAGTGTAAAACCACAGCAATCCCAGTTCACCAATGTTTACAGAATTTACAATGAGGAAAATTTAGGAGCTGTAAATAAAAGGGATTTGCAAAGAAGGGTTAAAAACATTTCCTCATCATCTAGGAACCAGGGAGGTGGTCAAATTTGGAGTTTACTTAGGTCCATTAGGAAACTGTTGGGCAATTCTTACCAGAAATTCCAAGAATGCAAGGATTGCTAATAGGCTTTGTTTTTGTTCTGAAGAACATCAACATTTGTTTAAATGTTCTTGAAAGCAGGTTGATTAGCCCACGCAATACCATGTGGGCCTCATTAAGAAAGAACTAACCACATAAAGCCTACTTAAGTGAATGTTTATGTACTTTTACTTTAAAACTATGCGAGTGAGTCAAATGATTCTCATATTACGCATCTTGACCAGAGTGGACTCCAGGTGCCTGTTCCCCAAAAGTTCACCTTCGAAGAGTCCCTTGTTGAAACGAATACTGTCCAAACAACACTAGAGTCATTTCCCAAATGTTTTTTCTTGCTTGTTTTCCAATCATCTCACATTATTCTCAGGTGGGTGAATGACAGAACAGTGCTCCTAGGGGAGAAAGGGAAATTATTAGTTCACAGAATGGGGAATTTCTAGCATTTAGCCTACAGAGGGAGAACACTATATACACCATATTACACCCCATGGATTCTAGGACCTTCTGCTTCTTCCCTGGGCAGGAAATGAAAGTTAGCATGGACACGTGTTGGTCTGCATGCAGAGCACACCCCAAGCTAAGACCCACAGGACTGCTGATTCACTTCAACCTCTGTCATAATAGTTCTTTCCTTTCAGAGATAACTCTTCCACTGTGTAACTGTGTCCCATGATAAAAACGCACATCCTGTTTGATTCCCGTACAGATGGTGGAGGAGGCTGCCAGTCAGTTGTGCCCATGTGGAGAAGAGGCTTTAACAGGAGGAGCTACACAGAGGGGGAGGCCAGATATCTGAGTGACAGTGCAGAGGCCCTCTCTGCCCCCCATAGACGAGTGAGTTATACTGATAAACTCATGACTCAAGGATACTCCTCTTTGACTCACACTAATGATCCACTATCAGCCAACACTCATACACAGCAAAATGTTTTCTTCATACAAACTAAAGTAACTAAGCTGCTAATTACAGTCCCTTGGTAGTTGGGTGGGCCCACCAAGGAAAACTACTTTATAAACACATTATGAAAAGTCAAGCTAACAAAATTGTTATATGGTGCCAAAATCCTGGAGCTCATCATTGAGCTTTCTATGAAGTAAAGTCACCACTGTTGAATGAACACTTTCAGATTTCAGTCTAGATTACACTCTGTGTCATTTAGTATTTAGCATAGCTACAAAGCATTTATTATTATTATTATTATTTATATTTATTATTATTCATTATAATTATTATTGCTTAGTAGTGTCTTATCACATTATGAACTATTATTTATCCCTTTTACCCCTTATATCCCTATTATACTTTGGGGACCCATTAAAAAATATCCCTTATACCCCTGTTATAAATGAGCAGAATGCCTTAATTCCATTAATTTAATATTTTTTACAGACAATATGAGACTTGAGAAGTGATCTTAGAGTTACTGCCATATTCTCAGTACTGGACACTTTGAGTTCCAGTTATATCGCCCTGGCCTGAGGCTTCCGTAAGCCTGAACAGTACAATTAAAATTACATGGACAAACAGTAATGACAGAATTACTTCAAGCAATCTGGAGCAATGGCATGACTTGTGACAGAAACACAGTGGTAAACTCCATGACCGCAAGACTACCTTTTTGTGAGTGTAATCTGTGTACCATATCATTGTATTTTTGAGCAAGACATTTGTATGTGATGAACATACATCATATGAATAGTTTCAGTTTTTGGGTTGATGTTAAAGTAGAACCCTACAGAGACAAGCTGAAAAAAGTGCCGAAATGGCTCTAACAAGACTCTTTTTCTAATTTTTTAAGAAAACAGTAACTGGATCCAACATGTACATCAACATTGGGTCAACATGATTCATGTTTGGATGTGATTGTTGGCTTATTTCTACCATTTGTCATTCCTTGTGTGCATGTGCAGCTAGAGAACTATACGTGGGGCAGGGTGAAGGAGCTAGTGAAGAAGACCAGGCTGAGAAACCAAAGCAGACTGGGTCTGTCATCCGGTTCCCTCAAGAGATCATGTCCGCAGCTATACCGGTAAGTCAGTCCAACCACATGTGATGCCACGTTCAGTTCCTCTGGGGTATTCTTTATTAATGTAACACTTCAACTTTGGCAACCTGAACTAAGTATGTCTAGGCAGAAGGTGACTGACCAAATATTCTAGGCTTAATTTGACCAAAATGTTTGAGTCTATGAATTAACGTTCATTTAAAAACTAGATGCATGAGAAACTGCTAGTTCTCCAACAAAATATTATATAGGCTAGTGTTCAAAAGTTCAAAAAATCAGTTTAATTACAGGTCCACATATAAAATTATTTTATTATGATGTTAAACTACATGGTAAATGTAGTTAAATACTAAAATAATGAACAGAGCTGTAGACGATTCCTTAATGCCTGAGAATGAAGTCATAATAAAATTTACATCCAGAATATTATTTGACAAGTGGTGATCAAATGTCAGGCAGGTGACTTAGCAAGGATTTACTATAAATAAATAATTACATTATATTATTTATCATTTAATAACTTTTTGATATTCCCCAAAACTTAAAATATTGAACATAACATCTTAAAATACTTTTTGGTGTCTAGCTTACAGTATTTCAATCCACACATAAAGTTATGTGTTATTATTGAATAAAACAACAGCAATTATTAATGTAACAAATGATTCCAAACTTTTGAACAGTAGTGTAAAAGGCCATGTTGTGTGTCAGAGGCTAATGAACGTGAGGGAAAAAATCAATACAGCTTTTAACAAATGATTACGATGTTTAATGGGTACATGTAAGTCTTAAATAGCTTTCATTATAGTATACAAATTCCAGTCCATTACCACCTACAATAACAGGATGACTTCATCTTTTCATAAGGGGTCATTAAATTAATAATACTACAGTTTATCACCATTAAAATGCATAGCACATTTGTAAAGCGATGATTAGCTCAGAACTTTGTAAGCCAAAGACAACACGGGATATTCATTGGGAATCAGTCCAGGTGTAAATGGATTTTAAAGTAAACACATTAGACGTGCACTGTGGCCACATCAAAAATGAAAAACATTGTTGAATGCCAATTAGCATTAGCATTACAGTTGTCAGTGTTACTTCCTTTCACTTCCTGAGCCATAGACATGAGCTGAAGTAACTCTTCCTCAATGGTTTGGAATACGCATTAAATTGTTATGAAAATCTGATTTCTGAAAGTAGAGAAAATGACTATTGTTACGGTTACTGTACTTCAGTAAACTTCTTGCTTCTCTATTTCCCAAATTAGTCTCTCTTAGCTCACACAACAAATACTGGGGTTTAGACAAGTAGTGAGTTGTTTAGTGTATGAGCACTTTGATGATGTGAGTTGAGGTTGATTGTGAGGGTTTCGCATGATAAGAGTTTAATCTCATCTGCAGACTGTAAACTCAGGCTTCCTGTGCTTCGTAATCTCCACTAAACACTGATTCCTTAGAAATACTTTGGCACTGTGCTCATGCGGTAGTTGGTGACTAGTACTGAGTTCTGTGAATGGATAGGGAGCAGACTACGTATTAGGTCATTGACTTCTCTCACAGTTACGGTATGCTGTGGGTATTGGCCTTACATACCGATATATTATTACTCAGCATATTCACAGAGTCTAACTAATACGCACCTCAGATTAACATTCATCCCAGATCAGGTCTCTGATTTTATACAGTCTTATATGTAATAAGCTTAAACCAAGCCTAGAATTTTTTTTATAAATATGGTTATTTTTCCCCATAGTATTGTGCTAGGGGAAAGTAAGTTGTGTGCCCAGCAGCGCTGGACACCGAGCAGCGGTCTGCCTTTGTTTAAGAGGCTGCAGTAAAAGGAATCTAGTGGGAGTAACACAGTTCATGGAAAGAACAACTATTTCTCTGCCCTCTCAACCTAGTCCTCAAGTGAGCCGCGGCCCTCCTCACACGTGGTTTGGCATGGGCTCAGATGAATAGTTAGGAGGTTGCAGTGTCAGGTTCAAGGTATGCTTGGAGGAGTAGGAGAATTCTGCATGTATTTCAGTCATTAGATGAGATATGGGTGCGCCAGATAGTTTCCTCCCAAGAAAGGATTTTCTTCTCCTGTGGGATATATCCATGAGGACAGCTTAACTATTTGCATATGTTTAGTCATAGATAAACAGAGGAGAAATGTACAAAAAATTCCAAGAAAGCTTAAGACTTGTGCATTACATCATTGGCAAAACCAAAACTTTACAGAAGAAGGGAAAAACAATGTATATCAAATTGGTCTATTGGACCAATGGTCTATTTCTAGTGGTCCATGAGTCATGAAAAGGTCATAAGAATGGGGTTGCAGGGTTTTTTTTTGTCTTGGTCATGGATGTGCAAAAAGGCCTCAACATCCTATGATTCTAGTGCACAGACTCAAAATTTTGACTATGAAAGGCAGAATTGTTATAATGATTATCTCTTCTCGCTGCAGACCTGAACTGGGCCCAGTGGAATTGTCCAGAAGAGACAGGAACTCTATGATCATCCTGGGTCATCAGAAACTGGACTATCACTGGCCTCACTAATATAAATCAGGTCAGTTTAATGCATCAGCCATTCTGAAATTATATCCTATTCTTTACTACTACTTTATTTGTTTAGGCTTTACTTAAAAGGCAGTGAACTATGGCCCAAACAGTGGTCATTAGCAGAACCTCTCTGTTTTAGCTCTGTACTAGCCTCTATCTCTTAGCAATGTTGTTTCAGCAGAGCTGATACGGCTCTTTCATAGCTTCACTTTCCGCTATTGTTTTCCAGTTGGACACTGAACAGATGGCGTATGATGGGGCAACGTTTCCCTGAAGAGGAGGACACGCTGAAGTTGTACAGACCCAGGCACCGAAAGACAGAGAGGAGAGGGAGGATGAGAAGATGTGGATGAGAAAGTGATCTGTGATTGATGTGAGAAGGGCAAAGTTGAAATATGGAGGCGACCTTCATACTTGACACCCACAGAGTTCAACAGAAAAATTCATATGTATACAATGGGCCTATTCATGCGGCTAGTTACTTTGTTATTACATGCGAGTGGCCATATAGAAATGTTTAAAATCTACTCTATTAATATGTTGGGTGTCTGTAAAGTGTATGCAGTGCCATGGACAGGAAGAATTATCAGAGGGTAGTGTAAACAAGACAACTTACAAATACATGACTACAAACTTTTAATTTAAAAAAAGAACAAAAGTGTATCACAAAATGGTGCCTTTCCATATATTCAAATAAAATCTGTTTAATCAAAAATATAAGTAAAAATAATGTGTATTACCAAGTGCTTCTACATATGACATTTTATGGGATCATTTCATGCTGTTCTGAACATTTCTGTGAAAAATCCTTATGAAGCACTAATAATAACAAAAGTGAAACATTTTATATTTTTATAACTCTGTCAAGCTAGCTATGTTCTGAAAATAACTGCCTTGAGATGACAGTAGGGGCTTTCCTTCCACGAGCGCGTACAGGGATAACAACTTGAATGCGTGATGTGTATAACATATGTATGTTTGAAAGTGTATAGCAGGGAGAGGAGCATCTCTTCTCTGAATTCCTACATCATTGAACATATATCATATTGATGGAGGTTTATGATAACACAGCAGATGACCTACAACACTTGTGTGGTCCGACTGACTTTCAGCTGTTATATAACATTTGCGATTTTCACCCCTAAATGTGTAGGAATGTCCAGTGCGTGGACCGATAATCCTTTACCATCACTTTAAATGTGCTTCTTCAATGCCTGCCAAGAAACTGTCTAGAGTCATATCTGCTTTTATGTAAATGCATTAAAAGCACTCTTATAGCAAAGCAGGACAGCACGTGGTGATTTGACCAAGACAAGCCAAAAGGTTTTGCTTGCCTAGCACCAACATTAGGTCAGTAGAGAAAGATCATTAAAACACTAAGGGCCCTCTCTTCACTGACACACACAAGAAATGTTATGCGTTTGGTCATATTGTGCCCTGCACTCCTTGCACTGCACAGAAGTGGAATGGTTGGAATACCCAAACTGAAGTTCTGTGAAAATGAGGGAGCAGAAAGCATGGTACTACCAACGTTGTTGGTGCAGATTTTGTCTTTTTTCTCCTACTAGCTTGATGCATCTCATTAAGAGAGGTTTTCCCACAACCTCCAATAGCTGCTTGTATAAAAGTCAAAGGCCTCTAGAAAGTCTTCATAGCTATCTTAACTTTTACTTGTTCCGTCTCTGTTTTCATAGCCTATTTTCTAAAGTTTGCATTTGCCTCTCTCAGCCTCCTCTGCATCATCTGCATTCATGAAGTGGAAAAAATCCATTTGAACAGGCCTCTAACTCCGAAAGTCAGAGAGTTTCTACAGAGGCTTCCCCCCTTGGTGGTGCCCGTAGAACAATAATAGCATGCTTTAAGCTCTTTAAGCAGACATTCAAGTTCCTATTTGTGTATGATAGGCTATTTGTAAATGATACCACTAAACACAGGGGGATACTTAGATAACCAAAAGGTTATGTGCATTTTTGATCAAACTATAAAACTATCGTATCATTTTCGGTGCTATAATAATGGTAATGGTCCACATTTAAAGTAAATGAAGCACTCCCCTTACTACTTTTTAGTAAGCTTTTTAAGAGCCTATTATATGGACTTTGTGGCCAAACAAGTGCTATTACTGTGTGCGTCTATTTTTCCCGGTTGCATTAACACTGTGAGGTGTGAAGCAGGAACTGCCGAGCTGAAAAATTCTGACGTTGCAGTTGTCATAAATGCAACATTAGCCTTGCTGTTTAAAAGTATTAGAGAGGCATGATATGATTTGCTGAGCAGAACACCTAATTAATTAACACTACGGCATATTAAACTTCCTCCACCCCTCTGCCAGTGCGCCTTAGCTTAAAAAAAACAGCATGCGCCCTTTGCACACACCCACATGCCTTTTGTCATGTAGTGTTTGTGTAGACTGTTGAGACTGACTGCAGAAAAAAGGCCCTGAATCGTTTACTGAGTGTTTTGTTGTGTATTGTACTCCTGTTATCCCTTCACACTGTACTTACATGTTTATACGCAAAATTTGTAAGATGGAGAAAATATGTGACTTTTGATGTATGAAGATGTTTTGTTTGTCAGGCTACGGACAAAAGACGAGAGCTGTCTTTATACTGTGCATTGTATTGTACCTAAATGGACAGAATATTTCAATATGCATATTGCATTTGTATTCAAAATTATTTTTAATAAATAAAGTTCTGATATTTCTAAATAACAGGGGGTAGTCTCATCTGTATTTTACTAATGTCTTTAATCTTTTGATCTCACAGTACTTCCAGAGAACATAAAAAATCAATCTAAAGACCACAAAATGGGCTGCTTTACTTATACACTGTATTGGTAATTCCCAGTGCACAGAGAACACGTACAATGACAGTGCATCAGTCTCAACCAATGTTTTCTTCCAAGTAGCACTGCAGCTTCCACACCAGATCCTGCCATGCTGAATAGATGGGTGATGTCAGCCTGGCAGGGGAGTCATACCAGCTTCTTCGCAGACTGAAGATGTGTCTAATAAATGCCAGTACCTGACTCTGTGGACAAAGAGCTAGTGTTAATGTGGGCAACAAGCATTCAGAGCTAATAAGCTCAGAATTGGATTTGATGCATTTGACCACCAGCACAGACTGTCCAATGAAAATCACTGTAGTGCTAGTCTAACTTGTGTCTAGGAACCTGAGTACATTTTAAGCTCATGCTTTACAATGATTTGATACAAATGTGCCACGCAGTGGTGAAGCTCAAAAACATCTTTAGCTGGAACAAATGGGAATGATTTAGGCTAAATGTCAGAGTGATTTTATGTATTCATCTTTGTAAAGTGGAAATGACCTCATTGTATGTGTGGAAGTGAATAAAAGCTCAGGCTTACTACACCCCAGTTTTTTGCTTGTGAGAGCACAGTGATGACTATTATGTTGGAAAACAATAGAGGGGGTTACGTGCAGGTCTGCAGGATTCTGAGAGATAGTTATAGATACTTTTATCTGAATTTCTTTCAGTGTTGCTGACAGGGAAAAAAATAAGATTAGTGCAAATCAGTGGATGTTCATTCCGGCTTATTTGTTTTCATGCATTTGAATGTTGAATGTTTTGGACTCAGTTAGTTTAACATACAAAGTCTATTAAACATTCAGTCTAAATCATTTTAATCAACTAATTTAGACTGTGTTTAAAGCCAGTTTCCCATATTCAGATTGAATATTCAGGGAACCAGCCCTAATTTAAAGTTTACAAGAAAATACATTTAAAATGATTTGAATGGGCCTTAAACACATGCTGGTGATCCAGAATTTAACTATCCAAAATGTTCTACATGTACTTCATAGATTTTACTGTATTTTAATGCAAAGATAAAAAGAGAAGCAGGTCACCGAAAGTCAACAATATGACAAAAGGAGAAGGACATTACCCTGAGAAGAAAGTAGTAATCTTTAGCCTCACTCTGAAGTCCAAACGCTGCCCACATGATCTCAGGATCCACATAGTCAAACACCTCATACAGATGGTGGTACAGTCCATGATCTCTCTAGCATGTGGAGAATATTGTGAATTGCATACATAAATAAATGTTTCTGCTTTGCTTACTTATTTCCATTCTGATGTGGTTACCATTAGACTAGATGCAGGATTGTACATCATATCACCTTCAGTATATAGATATTTAACTATAGATATAGGTAGATAATCTAAAGTGGAATGCTATTGTATTGCATGTGTGCTCACTGCCTCCTAGTGTGTGTGTTCACTAGTGTGCATGTATGAGGGTGTTTCACTGCACGGATGGGTTAAATGCAGAGGCCTAATTCCACAGTGTGCAAACACAGTTGGCTGATGATTCTGAATATTAAACCGTTCATATTTTCCAAGAAAGGCTAACACTGATGTAAGACACATTTTGGACGAAAACATGAACACTAAAAGAAAACAAAGTATACTCCAGGCTTTGGAACAAAACGGCCAGTAAAACACATTGACGTACAAGAATGACCCATATAAATTTGGTGAAGAATGCTGGAAACATGATGGAAATTAAACTTGGAAAACATATCTCACATCCTTTTCAAATTCTACTGTATTGTTAGTTGGGTCCTTATGCTAAAGAAGGCCCTTGACCTTACTGCCATCACTTGGCAAAGAGCGGTAATGCAACTTTTGTACAATATGTGAACTATCCCTTTATTCCTTACAGCAACACAATGGTAAGACGTTACAACTCTTCCAGACGACTCTTACCGTCATGCATAGCCGTTTTTTCTTTATCTGAGACCAAGCATAGAACATCACAGTCTGAAGAGGAAAACAAAAAGTGGTCAAGATTTAACTTCACAAAGGTTGTATCGCATAAGAACTGCTGGTATGCCATAATAGTTATGATTTCAAATTTCGTATGAGTAACTCATTAACCGAGAACTCGTCATGTATGCTTAGTATTGTCTGCTGATCAGTACCACACCAGTACAGTCTCCATACAAACAATGACATTGATAAGTTTATTGAACATGAGAAGGGTAACAATCTCACGGTTTTCTTCATGCTTGCTGAAATCCAGGGAATGTGCAGAGTTTGCTTCAGGGTGGCTGGAATGTGCTCCTTGCATTCCAGCAGCTTCAACACAATAGACTCATAAAATATGTCATAAAAACATGCCCACTGCATCTAGAGATACCGCAGGCACAGAGCAGAGGAAAAGCATAGTGAAATATAGTGGAATGTTCTAGCGATTGATGATTTACTGCAAGGCTTACTTGTACGTCAATGGGGTGTAAGCATGTGCTTTTTTCCCCAGGCTTTTCTGGTAGGTCAGTGAACCTTATTTTTAACCTTTTATTTATTGTGAGTTTGAGGATCATTTCCTCAGGTGGAGTGTTCATCATCGGATCATTGAGTAGAACTAGGCTACACTGTGATTTATACTTAGGGAGGGGACATTGAAGCATGACTACAGAAGCAACTCACTCCTGCCTCTTGGCACTCCTCAGCGATGGTTCGCCAGTTGGATGAGTTTTCCAGAAATGTCATAAGCTGCTCCCACATCAGACCAAAGCCTACATTTCTCTGAAATGCACACACAAACAAACACAAATGCAGACCCTGGCTGGGCTCCAATCACAGACTTGGTATTTCAAAGAGGGAGAAAACAAGGCCTATCTCCTCCTCCACAAGAATCCAGAGAAAATATGTCTGCTGACTGATATTTAACCATATCACAGTGCTCCAAAACACACACTTGTTCTGTTCACTGACAGCTTCACAGCAACAAAGGAGAAAATCAAAAGGGAAAGGAAGGAATCGGGGACACATAACACGTAGTGGATGAAATGATGTAATGGACTGTGATTACCTTCCCAGCTAAAGCCAGTAGGCCGCTAAGTAGAGTGAACCCGGTCTCCTTAAAAAATCGCCTGTGCTCTGGATCTGCTATGATGATCTGGAATGTATGGAAAGCACAAACTGTACAAGTACAGGGCTGAAATGAGTAAATCAAATCACTGTTCAAAACAAATAAATCACTGTTCAAACTAAAAAAAGTTCAAACTTATATAACATTCAGTTTGATAAGCAATCAGGTCTTACTTCAAAAGCCTGACGCACAGCATTGAGCTTGACGCTTATGAACTCATCATTCTCATGTTCAGGGAGGTATGGTCTGGAAAACAAATCGATAACGAAGTCCAACACTGACCCCTTCAACATTATTTTCTCTTTCAGTGTGCATGATGTGAATAATATAAACAAGCTCACAGGTTCCCAACACAATTCTACAGGATGTCCATGTTTGTTTTATTCCCGCTCCAGACACGCCTGAGTAATTAGCTTTATACAGTTCTTCAGTACTGATTGCAAGCGTGTTAGGAGCTAAAACAAAAGGTGTGGGTGGACTGGTGAGGCCCTCAAGGACTGGTCAGGAACCTTTGCTCTAGATGACAAGACTAAATACATACAGCCCAGTAAAAAAAAAGAAAAAAAAAGAATCTCTTAATTCTATTAGAGAGATAAGTTTCCCCACCCAGTCCTCAGGGCCCCACAGACGGCCCACCTTTTTCCTTCATTCCTGTGCTGTGGTCCTGAGGACTGGTTTGGGAAATACTGACTTAGATTGTAAATTAACAGAGGAATAATAAATTAATAAATAAATAAAGGTCAAAGCTCCAGCGGCAAATACATAAGTACACTGGTAATTGCTATCAGGATATTACAACCTTTTATAGAATTTTCACAGTAAAATACTGTGTTCACTGTTTTATTGTAAAATCAGCTCATCTTAAGATATTTTCTGCAGCAACCCAGTAAATTACTGTGAGGTTGATGTTGAGCTGTACCGCACAGCATTATGAGATATGACAGCAAGTTAAACAAAAAGTGTTTTTATTCTGACGATTCAGGTTTTGGTGTTTTATAGTTTTTACAGTTTTATGTTTTCTTTTTCTGACTGTTTAATTGATGGAACAAAGAAAAAAAAAACACTATTCATTGATATTGTCAAATTATAAGCAAAGTTAAGCATTTACTGTGCAAAATATGGTCAATCAATAAGTTCAGTGATAATGTTTTTTATTTGATTTGAATATTTAGTTCATCTTTTATCTTATTTAAATTTTCAAAAATATTAACATATTTGTTGGATATATTTGTTGGTCTGGTAAAATTAAAAGTCCATTTTTGCACTAGTTTAACAGTTGTTATGTAAAAATACAGGACATTACTGTATTTTTTTAAGGGTGAGCTGAATTGAGTATGGCTGATTTAAAGTAAACCTCATACATACCTCACAGAAACAGAGAGCGCTCTTAGCTCTGTGTCTCCCTCCTGTGGCTGCTTCTCCCATCCAATCTCCACTACCCTCTGAAAGGGAACCAAGTTCTCATTTCAAACTCCTCAGCAGACTTAATGCAAAATTCTTTCTACTATCAGCCCCATAAGTCTCTCTGTGCATGTAGTCAGCAGGTTCATGTGTCTGATCCCTTTTAATACTAAAGAATTGCATTGTTTCCTGGTGTAGTCATTTGAGCCATCCATGGCATCTGAAACCTGCAGAGTTTGACCTTCCCATCTCTCACCACAGAGTTCAGGGACTGAAGGGTTTTAGCCAGGCTTTGCTTTTTACCTCCACACATGTGACAGATGCCTCCTCTGCTTCAATAGAGCCTTCTAGATCTTCACCTTTCTCACTTTCATGCCTTCCACCATCAAGAGCTGCTTAAAGGAGCAGTTTGATTAAAAACATCTAATTAAAAAATGAAATATTCCCCCTTCCCCAAATGAAGTCAGTTAGCTAGTGAAGATGTATCCAAAGCTTGTTTCTTTAAATACAGAATGGTGCTATGAGACTACTCCCTGCTGAAAAAGTGTTTCTGTTGGTTCCTGATGGTTTTGTAATGTGTGGCTTTCTAAATGGGTTGATATCACAATGTAAACAATCCTAATGGTTTCCTAATGGGACCTAAAGGTGTCCTACAGGAAACTAGTGGTCTTTATTGGTAATCATTTGGCCAATTCCCATTAGAAGGCAAAACCATTAGGTTTTAATCCTGATGGTTTTTAAGGCTCCTTTTTAAACAGGGATGTAAGCAACAAGCAACAGAAGCTTCCCACAAATTAGCACTCCCTACTCAAAAACAGCTTTGACCAGCATGAATTCCATGCTCGTTTAAACTGGGTTATGCTGGTCTGGTGCTGGTTTGGCTGGGCATCCAGCATGGTCATGCTGGTCAATCAGCATGCCAGTATACAAACAAACAACCTAGAAGAGGCAGTTTCGCTCACTGACAACTTTGTTGAAACGCGCACGCGCGAGGAGTGAAGCTAGCCCTCAGTAGGTGGCGGTAATGCACCCTAAGTTAGTCTGTCATTCATCCTTATGCACTGGTTTCTCATGCTACACAGTACGGCGGCGTTTTAGGGCCACTGTTAATGAAAGAAGTAGACTTCGAGAATAAAGTCGTAATATTTCGAGAAAATAGTCATACTATTTCGAGAAAAAAGTAATATTTCGAGGATAAAGTGGGCTAACTGTAGGGGGGCTGCCATAACGCGTTGGGGCTCGGTTGCTACACTGGCGCGCTGGAGTTCCACACACTCCTGTTAGCTTGTGGATCGATCATTTTGATTATGATTCACATTGTCTGTGAAACTTCATGCCCTCTTTCAATGGCACGGAGATGTAGCCCCGATAGCCGTGTAGACGACCCTGCCTGCGATTCTCCTTCAACAAAACAGACAGACAGTTTCCGTCTGGATCTTTCTAAATAAACACAGTTTCCTGCACAGACACTTCTGTGTCGGGAGAGACAGACTGAGTATTTCTTTATGGGTGAAATCGATATGAAAGTATAACTCCACCAACTTCTTAACGCCCCTCATTTCAACACGAGGAGGTGAAGCCTTCCCTCACGTTCTTATTCTTACTATTTGTCACAACAGTGCAAGAAAACTAAAATATGGCTGTTGTAGCTCAGCGTTGGAGCGCTATGGTACGTTGTGTATAGTAATTATATGGGCAAAAGTGAGTTTTACCCTGCGAGCTCTTAAACCGGAAGTAAGTGCAGCAGTTTGTGAAAAGGGTCCACTTACATTGACTTCTATACTTTACAGATACACATTATACATTGGGCCTCTATACATATGACTGCTACTACTGTTTTTCAGCAGTGCAACATACTTTTATCCATGTTTATAGATACGAGAATGTCATAAATACTATGTGTCTATTTGAGACTTAGCTCAACATGGTGTGAGGCAAGTTAATTTAGGCGTGCGGTCTTCCTGATGCTAATTGGTAGCTTACATTACTTGTTAGCTGACCTCCAAGCTGCAGTGCATAAAGAAGCACTTCGAACACCAAATCTCAGCTGACCAACTACACTTGTGCGGATGAAAAAACTGTGTCAATGTGATTTTTCTACTGAATTATTCCTCTAAAGCATAATGATGTGCATGTAGAACACAATACTGTATTAAATAAGTTGCAATTGAACAATTCCAGACAACAGTGAACTGTATATCAATGTATATGAGCGGACAGTACCATGTGTTTTAAGGCCCACCAGGCACCTGCAGATGTACTCTGCTCCATTCAGAACCACCCCTGATAGTGCCTTCACAACTGGCCTGTCTCTGAGCACCTGAAAATAACACAATAACACCTGAGGTAACATCATATTCTTAAAATCATCTGTAACAGCACAAAGAACCACAGCATTATTTTAGTAGTGTGGCTTTAAAACCTACTGATGTCGCTGCATTAGCGCTTGGTTTCAGGCTCTGTACTGAGTGTGGCTCCCACGCTTGGTCAGTAGAGGGCATTGTTGCTTCATTACAGCATGAAATGTCACTCATGACCAAAACTGAACAGTACAACAGTAATAAAGTAAACAGGAACAATTGTAGATATTATTGTAAAGCTACCTTAACCTTGTGGGAAATATATTTGCAGTTATTTGGATAAACAGACTATGACATGAAGCAAAGTAGGCAATGGAATGTTTATTATCTTTTAAATAATAATAATTTTGCTATGGCTGCACATTTTACCCAGCAGAAACATGTAAACAGTGAAAATAGTTTTCACTAGATTTAGTGTAAAACACTGTCCACAAGTCATAAATAAGAGACACTGGTTTTTTTGTATGTTCTAAAGTACCACATGATAAATGCAAATTTTAGGCAAAAGTGAAATAAACAGGCAAAACTAAATAAACAGTAACTTTCTGGAAATGTATTAAGACAACACTGTGTAAGGGTTCCTTTGGTGTAATTGTAAGAGATGCAGAACAGGACAAAACATAACAATCAAAACAACCTTTGTCAGGTTTGTGAGACATTCATTTAGCACAGAGTACCAGGAAGCAATGAATGAGCTTATTAACTTTATTAATGCACACTTAATTTCCATCTGATACCCTGATACAGTGATATACTTGGAAAACATTGTAATACTGAATTTATCAATATGACACAGCACAATCAAAAACAGTGCACTCCTGATCATTGGCAAGAAGCACGTCTTAGGAAGATCTGGTTTCCAGGTAAAAACATTAGTAAAAAAAGCTGCTGAAAAAACAAAACAAACCCTAAAATAAGAAATACATTTGTGAGTCAGTATCTCAACTGGATGTGAAACATCAAATAAGAACCATTTGGCACTAAAGATCTTGTTAGTATGTCAGACTTAACTGATTAAATACTAACTAGTTCTTTTAAATGAAGTGAAGGTTTAGTTCTTGATGACTTTTAATATTCTTTTCCCAACTCTCAGAATCAGACTCACCTTCTTCATCAGGCCCACAGAAAAGCCTTTTACAGTATGTGCGTTAAATCAAAGAAATAGCATATTTCCATTATTTATATCCAGGCTTGGTTCAGCTGGGTCTTTATTTTGCCAGCATCATGTGTCATTAAGGTTTCTCCTGATTTTTTTTCTGGTATTGTTGTCAGACGTACTGTTTGTGGTTTTAGCCTTAATGCAGTGACAGAATGACAGTTCTTTAAGGTAGAGAGGTTTCTGATACATCCTAGTTCCTTTTTGTAGAAAATCATGTCTTCATGGTGGTCCCTCATTTTTTATTGTGGTAGCATCATGGCCAGCTGTACAAATTCATAAACCAGGTAGAAAAAATAGTTTCTGGTCATTCCTGAAGAACAACTGGCTCTCAGAAGTCTTTATCCCAACCAGAAAGTTCATCTGGAGGTTCCTCCAGCTCAGGTGGAAACATGTCAAAATGACTGTGATCCAGGGGGCCTTTTAGCTAGGAAAAGTACAACAACAGAGCCGTATTTAGACAAGAGAAGCTTCCTTTTTATGAAAAGTAAAAGCATTGAAAACAATATATTTCAAAGATCAATTTTGACATTAATTCAGTGACCAAAATGCTTCACCTCTCTCTTTAGTGGAGATATCAGTTTTCTCCATCTCAGTCCCTCCCAGTTGAAACCCTGAAACCACCTGTGAAAGAAGCAGAAATTGTGCACCAATTATCAGAGAACAGACATGATGATAGAGCAATAGAGCACCAGTGGGGTCACACCAAAGAACATAAGAGTTGCAACACAATTCAAATTATGAATTGGTTTCAAGAACAGAAAATGCGAGTAGTTAGACATGCACTATGGCACGTACACACACAATATATTTGATACTAAAAATATGGCTCTCAGACAGTGAACAATCTCACTTGACATCACTCCTCTAAGTACACATTCTCCACTGAACACACACTCATGAGAGGCAATCAGCAGTCCACATGAAGGGCATGAGTTCTGGGTAACTTAATATTCAGTGCATAATTCTGTTTGATACCAAGGACACTGTGCTGTTAGCATTTTTACTATCATTTGTATTTTTCATTATTATTAGACATCTTTTTCTCTGCTTGAATCACTAACATTTGTGGCACCTTTTAAAAAACAATATACAGTAAACAACTATATCCTCTTGTCTGTAAAGCCCTGTTTTCTTTTGATTTGCCCATAGTGTATAAACAGAGCATCTGTATTTCAGGCACTATCGCTCTGAGGACTGCTAACAGACCACTCAAGTGCATCAGCGTCAGCCTGCTGTCTCCAGCTCCACCGCTCTGCTGAACATGGCAACAGCTGTGTGTCTCATTCTGGCCACTAATTGTTCCCCCTGTGAATGTGCTCCTGTTCTGCGTTTGATTCTGCCAAAGAGAGGCTAATTTGGAGAAGGGTTCCGTCTGCTGCCTATTGTGCTAGGACAGAGCCAAGGAGAGCTGGGACTGATTCAAAATCGACTGAACAGCAGACTACCTGAGAATCGAAGCAGGCATCAGTGGGTTTCTGTGTATAATGATGTTTTGGCCAGTCTCAAAGAACATTTATGCTAAAGCATTATAATCAGCTGGAAAATGAAAATATAGTGGAGGCACAAGGATTAGTGGCAAGGTGGAGGAGGGGTTAATTGAGACTTTAGCCTCACAGTAGTAAAATTATAGTAATATTTGCAACAGTGTATAGATGCTTTAAAGGGAAGTTATTGTGCTCATTTCAATGTTCATAATTATATTTTTGGGGTCTACTAGAATAGATTTACATGCTTCAAAAGCATCATTTTTCTAATACTGCACAATTTTATTCACCCTCTGTCAAGGCTCTTGTAAGAGCTCCTATGACTTTAAGCCCCACCTCCCGATAAACCCAGCGTGCTCTGATTGGTCAGCTCGTCCACTCTGTTCTGACTGGTCTACCACCAGAGTGGTTCTGCCCCTACACATTGGGTCCCTGTCTTGCTATTTGCAGACAGACCTGTCTCTCCTCAGCAGCTGTAAACACCAATGTGGCTATTTTGCCAATAGCATTGGTCCTGCTGTGTCAATACCCACCCAGAGCGAGTGAGGGCACTTGTGCTCTCTTTGGACTCCCGCCCACAGATGGCTGTGGCATCACCAGGAATCGAACTGATGACAGGGCCAACGTTTAGACAGCTGCAACACTCGGGAGCCTGGACATACTAGTTCTTACTGTTCATACTGCTGCAAACTCTTTCCACCTTTGTTCATTGTGAAGAGAAAACATAGGTAAAGCACTAGCCACCAGCAACCTTTACCTTGCTAGCTAGCTCTACCATGGTCACTCAATGTCTAATTTGTAGCAAAGGTAAGTTTTACCTCTTTGGCAAACATCTGCTATCATTATTACAGGTAAAAATACCTGAGTCCAAAAAAATTCAGGATGAGTCCAAAAGTTTGTAGTGAAGGGATACAGATTATCTCCTTTAATCAAATTTGCATCTTTTTAATATAAAATGTTTTACTTAAGAATAAATTTCTTACACTTAGGAATATAATTCTTTGGTCTCTGTGTGTCTGTGAGGCTTGTGGCATGTTCTTCGAGAAGTACAGTGTAACATGAGAGACAGACTTGTTTATGCTCATCTCCAATGTTTTCTACCAGACATGTTGGTGGTTTACAGTACAGGAGCTGGAACTGGGTATTTCCATCATTGTAGAACTGTGTAAAAGGTGACCATTTGGAAACCTTTAATGTCTGTGGCCTGACTGAGAGTGACTCTTGCTGATGTCATTAGGATGCGCATGAGGGACTCTGCTTTTGTTGACTGAATCTCACTAATGACAATGTGTTCAGTTATGTTTCTCAATCCAGGTTTGCATTATAATACTTTTGATTTGTAATGATGAATCAGCAGCTGTATATGTGGATTGTCTACAACTAATTTGTTTTTCTTTAATATTATTGATTCTTTCAACAATTTTTTTTTCTTGTAATTCTGAAAAACACTTTTTCTTATCAAACTGTGTAATCTGTTCTTTGTTTGAAATTCATTGTGTGGTCTTCCGTTTTACTTTTTTGGGGTAAATTGCATCACAGAAATTGTGAATGAGTGTCTTTTATACATTTTTAAATTTAATTTAAATGTCATGCTGTGGTAATTTACCCAACATCTGGTCATTCAATGTTTCTTCTGAAATCAAAGAGTATTAATAGGGAGTTTATGCCACTTTGCTGCACTAGAGCCTCTACTCTTCTAGGAAAGGTTTACATTAGATATTGGAACATAGCTGTGATGATTTGTTATAGTATGTAGCTAGACTCCCTTCACAACCACTGTGGAGTAAAAAGCTGAACACTGTGAATGTCGCTATTTAATTTGCACTCTGATTAGTGAGTAGGAAGCCAACAGGGCTTTGAGGTTTTGTAGTAAACACATCAAAGACTCTGATAACATCTCTAATAATCTCAAGTCAATGAGCCAGAGTTTGCTAGCCAGGACATGACCTACTTGTGTTTCTTGATGTCAATGATGCCATTTTTCTTATTGCCAAGCCTTTCTGCAGGATTGAGCCTGAGGACAAAGACGGATAGAGAGGAGGATTAATTGTAGTGGTGCAGATGAAAAGCATCAATACATAATATGAACATAACAGAATAGCAGGTGCACATCCACTGACACCATGACAGCTTGTGAAGTTCTGGGTTTAACTAAGGTGAGATATGATATCTCAGTCAGATATCTCATCAGAATCTGCTTAGCTATTTACTTAAGTACAGGTTTTCATTTTGGTAATTTGGTAAATTTTCTCTGATAATCTTGCTAAGAGCAGAACTTGTAAAATGATTT